AAAAATTATTAAGTTTTCAAATAAGAATCCACAAGGAAATCTAATTAATTTTTAAACGAATTCTTTTCCAAATACTTCTTCAATTAACACCTCCAACATGCCTCCGAAAAGAGGCGGAGGTGCTCGCGGACGTAAGAAAATAGTTCAAGATTCTTCTAGAACAACCACCACCTCGACAACCAATACAATACAAACACCATCAACTACCCTAGAAATACAACAAACAAACAAAATAAAACCCAAATTTGAAGTAACACCACTAATAGTTGAAAAAGATTCAATTACGAAGGTTAAATTAAACCATATAATAAAACATTATCTAGCAGATGTTAAAATCTCTAATATACAAAACAATCGTCCAAATTCATTTATTTTATATCCGAATGATGTAAAATCGTTCAACAAAATTCTAAATGATCTATCTTCGATTATTCAAACAAATGAAAATCAACGTGCAGAGGTTTACATTCCTCGCTCTATACAAAGAATTTTAGAAAAGAACAAAGAAGCATATGTTAAAAAAATAGATCTTGAAATAAATGAAGAAGAAATAAAACAGGTCTTAGATGAACAGGGATACAAATATCACCAAGTCTCACGATTAGTGAACAAAGAAAAAACACCACTCAAAACATTTAAAATAACTTTCCTTGATGCACAAAACAGAGATCTGTTTGTAAAAATGGGTCTTCAAATAGATTTAATGTATTTCATAGCTGAGTCAGCCACTCAAAACAATAAACCAAGTCAATGCTATAAGTGCTTCAAATACGGTCATGTGGCAAAATACTGTAGATCTAAAAATCAATTATGTTCGAGATGCGGAGAAGAAAATCATAAATATGACAACTGCCCCAAATCTGATCAACATCCTAATTGTTGTAATTGCAAAGGCGGTCATGTTGCTACTTCAACAGATTGTCCTAAATTTAAAGAGTATCAACAGAAAATACAAAAAACTATCGACCAATTCTCATCAACAACTAAATATAATAAAACATCATCAATAAGTCCTAATTGGAATGATCTAGATGAATTTCCAATGCTTCAAACCATTGACATCGACAAAATCAATAAATTACCAATTATCGAAATAATCTCAGAAAAAATAATAGCTGTTGTTGAACAAGCTACAGAAAAAATATTTCAAGCCTTAAATCGAAAGTTTGAAACATTAACAAATCATCTTAGTAATAAATTTAACATTGAAGTTGAGGAGTTGTTAATGGAAAAAAATGATTATGTACCAAAAAACCATGGCAATACTAAAACAATAACACAACTAAGAACTACACAAGAACAAGTTCCAACAGATTCCAACAATGAAAAAGAATATCCATCAATAACACCTAACAATGGAAACAAAAGAAAATTCATCTCACCAAGTAGTTTATCTGACAAACTTCAATTCGATTCTTAAATCTCTTCCTATACCAAAAAAAAAATGTTAAAATCAATGCATTGCAACGTAACTTCAATTAAGAAACACAAGGATGAGATAATGGCGAGATTCAGTGATTGTGATATTCTATCCATAAATGAAACAAATTTAAAACCTCAACAACTCTTCTCTCTTCCAGGTTATCATATATACAGAAATGATAGACAAAATAAGCAAGGAGGTGGAGTTTTATTAGCAATACGAAATAATATTAAATGTTTTGAGATCTTTAATCAAACAATCGAAGATAATGAAACATTAGCAGTACAAATAGAAACATTTAATGGTTTTTTGCTTATTGCATCCATCTACATCCCACCTAATGCTAAACTAAATTGTGATGTCTTTCAACATCTTTACAAAATAAATAACAATTGTTTAATATTAGGCGATTTAAATGCTGCTCTCTGTACTATGGGATCTAAAAAAACTAACGCTAAAGGTTATCAGTTACAGCAATTATTAGCAGATGGATTTCTTCAATGTATTGACAATAATCTTATGACTTATGCAAGAAACAATTATGAAGAAAAGATTGATTGGATTCTTGCTAGTCAACCAACGCTATCATTTATTGATAATGTTGAAACATATCCATCTCTCGGCTTGAAAGAAGATCACAGACCACTAACCTTTCATTTAAACATGTCAGCTGAACTAAAACCTGGTTCACCTAGATTATCATACAATTATAAAACAGCAGATTCGAAATTATACAGAAGCAAATTGAATGATCTCTTACATAAAATAGATATAAATCAAAATATTACAAATGCACATCAAATCGAAACATATGTAAAGGAATTAACTGAAAGTATAGTTTCAGCTACGAAGACAG